CTAAAAAGATACTACTTTTGTAAATAGTATCCACGGTCAGGTATCTCTATGTTAAATTTATTTTTTAATCATTAACAATTTTACTAACGATTTTAGATGCTAGGCAAAAATTCTAACTCGTGCCAAATGATGAGTCACGACCTGTCGGCAAAATGGAATATTCTTAAATTCCCAGCCCAGGTTACAATTAATCTGATGGAAATACACACGGGTTAGGAAGTCTTCATCTCTAATCGCACCTCCGAGTCCCGCAATTTTTTGTTCAGGAAAGGACCAAGTTAAGAGGAAAACAAGTGCTCGAGGCTTCATACTTCACCGCTCAAACACTTGGGGACTGTATAATGAACACAGAACAGATACGTGCGGAAAATAGATGCGTAAATCAAGAGACAAGTGTCAAGCAGAGGTTATGGAATCCCAGCATAAGCATACATCATAGTATTCCTTTCATGAGAACAACAGAGTCACCTCTCAACACTCATGAGAACAATAGAGTCACCTCTCAAAACCCTTCCTTAATACATCAAGATAGGGTCATAGACTATATACTGAAACGGGTATAAGGAAAACCTTGTCTAATAATTATATTTACTTTGTAAAAAATCTGTTTACAGAAAAACAGTTACGAGAAAGTTATAGATGTACTTTAATACATAAAAGCTTGTTCAAGTTCATGAATAAAAAACTTGTCAAAGTTGTGGCATACAAAACATGCTGTATTCCTATTCTTTCATCGATTATAACACCATTATGAAGTTGAGACCGTCTTCTTCATTAAGGGTCGATATATGAAAAGGGCCCTCTTTTATAAACCTCATGTTAATAACTCATGAGAAGAATCATTAAGCAATTTTCAAAGGATAAAATGCCCTAAACTATTCTATAATCCGTAAATAGATAAGAAAAAGCAAGAATAGAACATATTGAAGTACCAAGAAAACTTCTTAAAAAAGACTAAGTAAAACTTAGTCAAGTAAAATGTTTTTACAAGTGTCCCATTATGATAACTGGGGACTTAACCAAAAAATCCCTTTAAAAAGTCAAGGGATAAACCACCAATTAATTAAAAAAAACAACAAAGAGTAAAATATTCAACTTGTCACTAAAGGGGTTGAACTTCTGAAGTTGCAATGTCAACTTCACTTTCAGAAGCAGGTAGGCACTGGTAGCAATTTCTGAGGAGAGTAGTGGCAGTGGCTTGAAGTTTTAAAGTCACCGAGGAAGCAAGAGTCACGGGAGCTTCAGCTTCCACGGGACTGTATCAGTGAAGTCTTTCACCCTCAGGAGCTGGAATTGTAACATTTTCAACTTCAACAGAAGCGGCTCCTTCATTTTAAAGGTTCCTCAGCCACGGGAGTTTCATTCTGCCGGAGAAGGAAAGTCAATGTGGTTGTGTGAGTCATTTCAATGGTTCTCAAAACCTTGGCCAATTCGATTCTAAATCAAAGTTTTTGACTGGCCTCGATTAGGCATCACGGCGGAGTTTAGAAAGGCCCAGCTCCACTCTGTGTTAAAGTTCTCCTCAGAAGCTCATAATCCCTTTCCCACGAGCAAGATCATTTTTAACATTTAATTTTCAAAAGTGGAATCAAGGGTAGCTTCAAGGGAGCACGAGAATTCTCTAAGCACGAACCTTATCAGAGAATTTGCAAGTCACCAGAGCCTGAAGACAAGTTTTGAACTAGCTCTCCCGCGTACTTCTTCTTTCTGCTCAACAATACCTTAAGTTCTCTAATCTCTTCGCTTGACTTTGAATAATTGTTCTGAAAAAGAACATTCAAGGCGCTCTTTATCCTTCTCAGCTTTACCAGAATAAGCCCTTGGCCCCGCATAATCAGAAGTCAGAATTTGCTTTGCTGTTCCAGGTCACGGTTACTCTCTTGCAATTCTTTTTATCTTTTCTGAGCATTTTAAACTGCTCTTTCCAATGGTTGCCCTCAAGCTGGGCTTCTCTAGCTATCCTCTCAGCCTCAGAAAAGTCTGATCAGACTCACGAGCTCTTCTTTCTAAGAGGAAATTTCTTTCCCATCAATTCCGTACCCAATGAGGTTAGCCCTACAAAAACAACTCATGAAAGTTAGAATTAAAAGAAAGAACTTATTAAAAAGTAAAGGGAGAGTACCTTCAATGTACAGTGAACTATATCATTCATCAAAGTTAGAACAACTGTGACTGTTCCATCTTCTTTTTCTCAATATCCCCAATTAAGTTAAGCCAAACATCTGCTCCGCCAGACTTCCTTAAAAGACTGCTATTAGCAGGAACCTCAAGTGTTACACTCCTCATAGCCATGCTTCTGTCTACTAAACCCTCCTCTGCATAATGAGCAGAGAAGGGGAAACTATAGAAGGAAGAACGGTTAGAAGAAGTGAAATTAGTAGTAGTCGAAGGAGTCGGGCAGGTAAGGGAGCAGAAATTGACAAAGAAGGCAGAACAAACAAAGTTGGGTAAGGAAACACTTGAAATTAGAGGCAGGAACAGAAAGAACACTCACGGAAGATAAAAGAGGAATTTCATCTAAAACCGACCTAATCACCGCACCACTTTCGAAGCCCTCAATAAAGAGGCGATGAGTGGATTCAGGGGTGTCCCTTGGAATGGTTTCTTCATCAGAGGTAATAGTAACGGGTTCGGAGGTACGAGCAGGAGAGATTTCAGTTTCATCCTCAGAAACAATGCGCCTCCTGGTTCTAGGACGAGCTGTCAAAGAGGTATCTTCATCTTCATCAACGTCAGAATCCTCTTCAACCACTTTCCTCTTTGACAGCGTGGCTTGTGTTCTTTCCAAAGCAAGAGGAGTACTGGAAGAAGCTCGAAGGGTGATAGCTACTTCAGCCGACATCCCTCGAATAGCAAATCCTGACAAAAAGAAGGATAAAAAATTAAAAGAGGGGAAAAGAATTTAACACACGAGAAGCAAAAAGGGATGTATACCGTGAGTTTTCACTTTCCAACCATGTTTGTTGGAAATAGATTTCCAAGTTCGTGCCTCCATAGGCACGGCTTTCAAGACAGCATCTACCCAACCACGGAAATAAGGAACGGGTTCCACATCTCCCATGGTTGCTACAAAAAAGCAAAGGAATAATAATAAAATTAGAAAAGAAGTTGAAATAACGAAAGCAGATACGGCAAGGAAGAAAATACTTACGTGCAAAGTTCCATTTCTCAGGAAAAGGAATATTTGATTCACCCACCAAATCAATTGTGGGAACATCAACAAACCGGGTGTACCAGCCACGGTCGTTATTATCTTCAGGGTTAACCAAAACCCTCTTACTTCTTGCAGATAAGGTAAAAACACCATTGCGGAATAGCTTGGGGTGATAAAGATGAATTAGATGAGGGAAAGTAAAGTCAACATCAGCTTTGGTTGACATATACCTCAAACAAGCTACTGCTCTCCATACGAGGGGACCAACTTGAGTCAAACAAATTTTGAAAAAATGACAGAAATCAAGTATGACTGGATCAATAGCAGGAATAAATCCCAAAGTAAAGGGATAAGTGTAAACGAAAGAAAAGCCAACCTTATAAGAAGATATTCTTTGGTGTGGGGTAGGAATAACTATGTGGGTGTCATCTCTCCAACGACAGTCTCTTCGAACAATTTGAATCAAAGGTTCAGTAATTAAAGAGGGATATTTATCAGCTCTCTCTAATTTAATCACTTGGTCACGAAGGGATTCTTTGTCATGTTCGAAAGATAAATCCGTTGGCACAATTTCTTCAACCAGAGGCTCTTGGTTAGACTCAGAAGGTTCTTTGCCCTTAGAAGAGGATCTGTTAGAAAGAGAGCCTCTAGAGATATTGCCAGAACTAGAAGAGGGAGTGATGGAACCAGAGGTACCACCACGAACCGACCCTGTACCACGAAGCACACCTCCTCTACCTCTTCTATGTCTAGCAGGAGCATTGGGGAAACTATCAAGAATTGGGACTCTTTTAGGGTTAGGATTTGAAGACGACGTAGTGAGAAGATATGAACAGAAGGTATGAACTGAAGAAGAAGTGAACGAGAGTAAATAGCAAGAAATTTGGTAAAAAGCTTGTGAAGAAGAAGGCAAAGGAAAAAGGGGGCAAGTTTATATATAAACTCAACCGTCGATAATTAAGAAGTGTAATGATGGAAAGCCTATAATAAAGGCAACTATCACTTCGTGAATAGTGGAGTTAAAGAAGCCTTAGAAAAAGGCTGCAAAATCGCAGAACTAATGAGAAGGTGACACATATATGGTGCATTAAATAGAAGAGACAATTGAAGCGTCGACACTGTCATAGCATTGATTATGGCAAAAATTCCCTTTTTAATGAAGATCCACTTCCCAAATATTTAATTGATAAATAAATGAAAAGTGGGGGGACTATCTATATAGGGAAAAAACTGAATTTATATTGAAGGTGACGTGGCATGACACGTGGACTGGTCAAATGGTCAAAACATGATGATCAGTTAAGAGGCACGGGCGATATCAGATACGAGGAGAAGAAAGTTAAATAGGCACGAGATGCTATTCAAATGATACGAGTCTCGTATCTATTTAACTTAATTAAAGCCAGGAGGTCAGAAGGAATTGAAGATATGAATCCGATGGCATAAAGGAGTCTAAATTCAGTATTAAATGTCAAATACGTTAGCGAATCAGTATTGAATAGGAATGATTGTGTAACGTTTCATTTAATGTCATTTAATGCTCATAATTGCCTCTTTAAGGCTAAGGCATTATACCTTTTCCTAGAAAAATCAACTATAAAAGGAGGGAGGTCTCAGCATTTGTAGGGACACGAAAAATCATTGAGATTACATTGAAATACAAATTTATTTACTGCTTTATTATCCTCAAAAATTTCTTATTCTTTTCGTCTCCTGATTATCAGTAACCCGATTTTTTCTCTTAATTTCTAGTTTTAACGAAATTCTATTTTTTGGTTAAACAATAGTTATAAGGTATTCTAGCAAAACCTTAGACTTATTAGGAAATCCAGGTATTAACTGACTGGCATGCTCTCTCTATTTTCGTTTTTCAATATTGGCATTCCCAACTTAATTTTCATGAGTTTTCAGAAGCATGACTCCTCGTGAAATAACTATTCTAGTTCTATTAGTTACTATATGTCTTCTTGTACCTTCAATCTTCTGCTTAATCTGTTTAGCATGTCGCATGCATCTTGAAGCTATTCGCCGGCGTCGTCTCCGGGTTTTCGCTGCAACATCTCCATCGCCTCAGGTTTCCTCCTTGACAATTTCTCTACATACTTCGGGCCTCGATGACTGCACCATTCAGTCGTACCCAAAGGTAAGCAGAAATAGGGCATGTCACTGCTAAATAAACAGAAATTAGCGACAAACAAATTCTGTAGCTAAACAGAAAAGTCCGTCGCTAATCCCAGTTCTGTAGCTAAACAAAATAATCCGTCACTAATTCCAATTAGCGACAGATTAGCGACAGAAAGAAATTTTGTTAGCTACGAGCAATTTAACGACAGATTAGCGAGAAAGTTGATAACTAATTCCAGTTTTTATTTTGTAGTGGCAGGTTCTGTAAGTTCAATTGAACATATATATTACTTTTAGTTTGAACTGTATATACATAAGTGAAAATAATTTAAAATATGTACATATTATAAGATCATATTATTTTTAACACAGTGACTTTTGAATTTGCCTTTTGTAGGTAGTCCTTGGTGAAAGTAGACGGTTTCCGGGACTTAACGCGCTGACTTGCCCAATATGTCTTGTTGAGTACAGTGCTGGAGAGTCAGTGAGGCTTATACCTTTGTGTGAACATAGCTTCCATGCCGACTGTGTTGATGAGTGGTTGAAGATAAAGGCCACCTGCCCTGTTTGCCGAAATTCTCCACTTCTTTTAGAAAACGATAAGCTTGACCAAATTAGCGCCGAGGGTGCAATGTGTTAGCTTGATTTTCTTTTGATATTTGAATTTTACTTTTTCTTCAAGGAAGGAAAATAATTTATCCTAATCGATTTTATTTTTACTAAAAGAAAAATATTGATCTCTTTCATATTTAATAAATCTTTTTCTTGGAGAAGAGGTTTTGCACTTCTGTAAATTAAGCATCTCTACTTCACAAAAAAAAAAATATCAATAGCATCTACAATGTAGTAGTCAATAAAAGAGTCCTGTTTAGGGGTAAATCTTTCTTTCAATAGTTTTTTATACTTTCTTTTATATTAGTTTCTCATATATAGGGCAATTGATCAAATCATATTGAAGTATTATAGCTATTTTAGTATATTTCTTTTTGTCATAGTATCATTTATCGTCGTTAAGATTTTGTTGGGTGTGCGAACAAAGTCCCACATTGGCAGCTGAAAGATTGGGAGTCTATATATAAGGTGTAGGGATCTCTTAATGGTGTGATGCCTTTTGAGGAAAACTGTGCGGGCTTGGCCCAAAGCGGACAATATCACACCATATTAAGAGTGTATTTGGGCTAGTTTAGCCCAACAACTGGTATCAGAGCCCAGGTTCAGCGGAATGAGCATGGAGATGGCGGAGTGATGGTGCAGGGCAGTGCACACACAAGAAGAAGATAGTTGCGGGCTTCGGTTGCCATAATACTCTAATAATGTGGGTGGGACACAGTGAATCTCGAAAATTGACCCGTGAATCGTGGTATGGGCCACGTGGAACTTAGTTCGAGGGGGAGATTGTTGGGTGTGCGAACAAAGTCCCACATTGGTAGCTGAAAAGATTGGGAGTCCACATATAAGGTGTAGCGATCTCTTAATGGTGTGAGGCCTTTTGGGGAAAACCGTACGGGCTTGACCCAAATCGGACAATATTACACCATGTTAAGACTGTCATTGGGCCGTTTTAGCCCAACATTGTTTGTTTTGATAGTTTTCCCATAACGCCTTATTATTTTCGACCCCACAAAATAGAGTGATTGGAATTTAATATTTTATCATAGATCTCGAGTTCAAGCCTAAAAATGAAAATGATAAGAAGCACTTCTCCTTAGGGAGCTTGCCCAGGCGACACTTCTCCTTAAGTGTGTCAGTTGGTTCAAAATAGTTGATGGTTAAACCAAATTAAAAGAAGTGCAGTCGTAAACTCGGGAGAGTATATCTAGTAAATTTGATCACGCCCAACTATGCCTTATAAAAAGGACAAAGCGGTCGTTGCAAATATATTCCGGTTTCCATGTCCGGAGTCGAATTCCACAGAGAACTAAGGCTTAGCTACAGTTGTTCACTATCACCAAGAATACAAGCTTGAACAATTCCTAACTCATAGATATTAAGATTCTTGTGTTTAACTGGCTAACTAACAAATTAAAATAATAAATTAACTCTAAAGATACTACAGATTGGAGAAAAGATTAAGGAGGTCTAGAGTTATGATTTTCCCAATTGTCGGAATCCTTCCCGCTATGTCTTCTATAATTTCGCCTAAGTATTCTCTACCGTTCATGAGCGCTCTGCGTGTTGTAGTTCTCTCCCGAGTAATTATAATAATTTACTAGACATACTCTCCCGAGTTACGCTTGCTGGCTTTAATTACAGCTCACTTAGATCGCACCCAAGGTTTCGTTATCCCTAATCCCACCTTTAAACTCTTGGTTATTGATTCCTCACATACGTCGGGAGTGATGTTGTTCAACAACTACCTAAATATGCACTCTCTCCCAAGTAATACATACTAAATAGGCACAGCTAATTGAGGGCCCTTCAATCAACCACAAGAATAATATAGTTGAACAAATAGAGAAAATACTACGGCTCAATTATATAAAAACATAACAAGAATTTATCCTTCAAAAAGTTCCATCAAAACCCTAGATAATAAATTAGTTATTCATAATAGTATGTAAAACTACAATACTAAAAGTCATAACCAACAATGAAAAATAGGAAGAGGAAGGAAAAACTCGTAGAAGAATTCCCCGTCTTGCTCATATTGTGTCTCTGCCTCCTTAGGTCGAATCTGTGTCAAAAATTGGTCTCCTCTCCTCAAAATACCGTTTTCCATGTATATATACCAAGTAGGGTCGGGCCCAAACAATTATACCTTCTCTTACGCGAAAAAGGACAAGTTTCCAGGCCTGGACGTCTGCGGCCGCGGTCCGGGCGCGTTACTTTCCGAGTGTACTGCCTCAGTCTGCGTCAGGTCTGTGGTCGCAGTTTTGACCGCGCTTTTCACCCTGTTTCTTTAGGAATTTGGAAAAATGTAAAACATGAAAGTTGTACCCCTATGAGTTAGCTTTCCAACTATATATTGTGGAGACCAAATGGAGTTCTGAGCGAAAAGTTATGTGCATGTTACTAGATAGTGCGCAATATGCCTACTTGATTCTTCGTTTTGTTGCTCTATCATCCGTTGATCCCCGAATACGATCCCGGCTTAATTTCTTGTGCTTTTACTCAGACTTCAAAGCTCCAAATCACTTGAATTCATTTCATAACATCTATATAGCTCGGAATCACTCTTACAAGGCATAAAATACACAATTAGTGCAAAACACTAGCGATTAAAGCGCAAACTCAACTAAAGTACAGTAAATTAGAGTGTAATAATTGACTAAAATACGTAATTATAGCCTTTCATCAACACCCCACACTTAAACCATTGCTCGTCCTCGAGCAATCAAACTACACTTTTTTATAGACACGACCTTTTTAAACAATTCTCCTAACTCATCACACCAAGAGTATTTAAAATAGACTAAGCACAAAAGCGTAACATCTTCACCTCAAGATTTGACTCACAAGTCGCATTATTCACAACTCACCCACTTACTCTAACATAGAGGTCACTGACATTACTTTTCCTTCATGAATCAAGTGCCCTCACGCAACAACAGAGAGTAGTCCCACACACCATACACTTTAAGAACAATTAGGAACTCAAGATAGAAAGAATTCACTCACTCTTAGAAATGACATTCATATGCCACAAAAGATGCACCAAAGGCTTGCCCGTAGTGTACTACTCTACTAATCGAGCTTATTCAGTCTAGGATCAAGTAGGACTTTATTTGGTTGTAATGTAGGCTGCGGGACGGGTAGGATACATTTAGATATAAGAGTGACTACACCTCCCTAAGCACTTTAATACATATACTTTAACATTCAAATCCCATACTTATGTCAAACCAAACTCCACCTTCACATCAATGTATATTACCCCATTCTTCTTTAAGCACACTTACATCAAAAGCCACCACTTATCAAGGAATATTTTTTTTTCACGACAATCTAACTATTTTTTTTCCAATTCAAGTGGCTCTTACTTTTTCAAAACAGTGCACATTTCTCCTTATTTCATTAGTTTCACTCAAAAGCCAAACCAACCACCCCACACTTTAACTTTTATACAGTTCATAACAATTCAAGTGCTCATGAGAGGTTAAAAGGTTCAAATAGATGATTAATTCAAACAAATGGGTAAGGCTTGTAATGTGGTTGCCAAAGAAACAAGATTACAGGCTCAAAGGGGTTAAATACGATACATAACAATTAGGCAGGTAAAATATACATATCTGGCTCAACAAAGAAACGCCTATATCACTTCCAAGACTGAACAAAACTACTATTTCGCTTTGCAAACACACAGGGCAAGTTCTAGGCATCAAATACAATGCACAGAATATAACAAATCCTTACACACACATGGCACATAACTCACTCAGTATTGCACTCATCAAGACACTCTAGTCAAAGCAGTTAAGCAAATTTAAGATCATACAATTTAAGGTACTTATACAAGAGTCAAAAACTGAGCCTAAGCGTCACAACCAAAGTACTCACTATTCTCAAGGTATAACAAAGTCAAGAGATATTGCTTCAATTCAAAACACAACACAATGGCTCCTACTCCCAAAAAAAAATTAACTACACCCGGTTCAAACAAAACCCTTGGAAAGAAACCGCGGCACAAAGAAAACAAGGGGTAATTTCTACACTACCTAACAAAAGAAAATTTTTTTTTGTGTTTTTTTTTCTTTAGACTTAAATCACTCAAGAAAATTGTCTAATAGATCCATCGTCGGGAAAAGTCCAATCTTTTCTATTAAAAAAATATTCAATTAAACTAACATACCTAAAATAGCATATTAAGTCACCCAGACAATCTCCTCACCCCACACTTAAAATTGTGCATTGTCCCCAATGCACACCCATACATACAAGAGGGTAAAAGAAACTCCCTGGTAGGCCAAAGGCCGAAGCACTAGCATCTCATGGGGTACTCAGACTTCTCCCAGGCCTGGTCCTTCGTGCGGGTACCTCACACTTAGTTCCAACCATCTGGTTTGTTGTTGCATCTTTCCAATAGCTTTGTTCTCCATGCTCCTAGAAACTCAAAAATCGACACAACAAAAATAATACAATAAAAAAAATAAAACAAAGCAGTAAAGCTGGGTTGCCTCCCAACAAGCGCTTGATTTAACGTCGCGGCACGACGCGAATCACTCTTTGCCTCCACTTTGAACTTATGAATCGGACCCCAAATTTTGATTCTGCTCTATGATCATGGTCATGGGGTGGTAGAACGAATCTGACTGGCCCAATAAAATAATAGTAGTCTGCACTTCTTGGCCTTTAGATGAGATGTGTATTCCCGACTTTCTGGCAAGAAGCATTCCAGAATGTAGGCACATTGTTCCTCATTCCTTGACTCCTCAAGTGGCTCGGTCGACTCTATTTCCATATCATCATCCAAACACAATGTGTAAAAATGCTTGGAGTGTGGACCAATGCGCTCAACTACAAGAACATTGGGACTGTCTACATTCTCAACACTAATGACAATAGAGTCAACTAAATATGTATCCTCAATATCCTTGGTTGACTCTAGTATCTCTTCTACAACATCGACATCCTCAAAATCTAGTGCCATTGATTGTTGGTGTTCTACTCTGGCCTTCTCCTCTAGCTCATCCTCGTATTTTT